CAAGGGTTTGGTTATAGTCCGATAGAGAAGTTATGAAGAGTACGGCGTGAACGTCATCAAATACATGTATCCATTTTCGACGCTGTGCCTTCTGGCCACCAACATCAAAAACTCTTAAAAATAAAAATCCGAGCGAGTAATTTCAAGTGAGATGGGAAACTAATTCTCAATAAGCAAAATGATCCTTGTAACAATTTTAACACGTTGACGACAGCGTGACGCGGTAACGCGTCCCACTTTGCGCACCTCGTGGGACATTGTGACGCGGTAACGCGTCCCACCCAAGTCATCCCTTTTTCTTGCGCTTGCGCGACTTATTCCTAAGGTCTTTGTACTCATTCTATAGGTCATACATTAGCATACTTAAAAACCACATGGCTCACAGAAAGGCCAAATATTCTTTAGTTTGGCAGAGGTTTTCCAGACCTTACGGATATGTCTGTTCAGTTCATTCCTCGTTTTCTTTTCATTAACGTGAACATGTTGATAAAAAGGAATAATAGAAGCGAATACAAACCTAATCGAATGGGAAGATATGAAACTACCAAAGGGAAAGTAGGTAAAATTTGCCTTTTCATGGCCTTAAACGTCATTTTGGTCAAACTTCCATTACTGTAACTCCCGATAAGCTAGACAGATCGAACATTATTGAAAACACTTCATCGCATCTAAGTATTGCGTATTTACAGCTCAAAATCCATGGATTTGGTGTGCGGCGGCGGCGCTCGCAAAATCGCTCTTGTCCCACGCGGTGCAAAAACACAAAACGCGCGATGTCGTCAACGTGTTAAAGAATGCTGGTGAAATAATCACGTTGCCCCCACGGGCGTTTTCATTACTGGAACACGAGAATCATACCTGTGTGCTGGAAAAAAGATATGGGCTGCGTGAGCAGTCGTTAGCAGGTAGCTTCCAAACTTGTTGGAACTCTTCACACGTTCTTTGTGCAGGTGACTATAGGCTATCACTGAGCAAGTGACGTAGTTGGGAGCCTCTATCAACCATGTTGCCGGCTTTGTTTTGTTTGTTAACTGCTGTTTTAACGCCGCAGTTCGCGTTGCGAATGTTTCACAAGAATGCTGGGTTGTGAACAAAACTTTCGCCCCAGGCGGGACTAGAACCCGCACCTCTCGCTTTCCGGGCAAGTGCGCTACCAGTTACGCTACCGGGGCACCATTTCATTCCAACTCAGCTTTCATGGTATACAAACGTTAGGCGCTCCCAGGTGAGTGCTGAAAGCTATGGTACGTATACCATGAAAAGCTGAGTTGGAATGAAATGGTGCCCCGGTAGCGTAACTGGTAGCGCACTTGCCCGGAAAGCGAGAGGTGCGGGTTCTAGTCCCGCCTGGGGCGAAAGTTTTGTTCACAACCCAGCATTCTTGTGAAACATTCGTAATTGGGAGCCATTTAACCAACCACTTGGCAAAGGAGAGAAAACCCTTAGGGAGTTCAGTACTACGAACCTTCTCGCCGTGGAGCAGTGCCAACCGCTCCTTTATTTTGTTTCTCAACCGCATTCAGAAAATCATTTGGAAGGTTTAGCAGATTTTTTTTGCAGGCGTCCAAAAACACATCCAACAGCGCAGTGACCCCGACGTACGCTTGCGGTGACCGTTCCGCGGCTTCGTTCACTCTTTGGACGGGCTGCTCGGCAGGGCGCAATCTTCACGATAGTCGCAGTAAGATGAACGAGCGGGATCATGCTTCCGCCAGCTTAAAGGTGGATTCTATGATGGTAAGGTAGCTAAGAAGAAATAAGAGGTGATCAGGGGAGCGGGGATGAAGAAGATTCCATAAGAAACGGCGCGGTGCCTCAGCAATGGGACCCTTTCCTCAAGCTGATTTCCGCATTGATGCGGCTCGCATCGTTGTGCCCCCTTCAACGCTGACTCTTCGTCTGCTATCTAATCACTCGCCGCGTATAGAACTGCGGTGAGTTATTAGATAAACGGTAGGGCCTTCCGGGTCAACTACGCTAAAATGAAGGCCATGCTAGATCGTCGGGAACATGTCCTATTGCGTGTTGATCCGCACCTTTGGTGATCCGCCTGTCTCTCCACTAAAAAAGTTCCCCCTACTACGACCTTCTTTCTTATCGTGGAATCCTCCTTTGAAGGGATCACTGCTATCATGGAGACTACCTTTCAAGTCAGGGTCGCGCCTCTAGCAATTGGATAAAAGAGAGTAAAACACCTTCAGATGTTTTCCGGCTAACAAACCTGTTCCACAACTCACTTGAAAGTGGTGTTTTTGATGAGGAAAGTGAACTGCACGACACCTGAAGTCGAAACTCGGCTTTTCAAAATATCCTCGGAGGAGGGAAGGTAGTCTTTCTCCCGTATTCTCGGCAACTCGCGAAGAAAGCTAAAGACAAGAATAACTTTCTACAGACAGTGATCGTGTGCTAGCTCATCGTGTTTTAGCACTTAAGAATCTGAAACGATCAGCAATGCTGATGGAAATATTATTCTTTTCAAAACAGTGAACTTACTACATGAAGCTTTCTTCGATACCAAGATCGGAGCCTTGCTGAATCACCTCCTGAATAGCAGCGTCTTCCAGAAGTCTGTAACATTCTGAATTGTGTAACTAAGTCTTGTTCACCTAAATTGTCAAAATCATTTACATTATGCTGCGCATATTGTAAATGATTTTGAAAGGAGCAAAAAAATTGAAGTAGATTTGCGCAAGAATTTTTTTGACCTTGCATGGTGGAGAGCAAACTATGGGAAGCCTAGGACTTTCAGACGACAACTCAAAGCGGAACCGTCTAATATTCCCCGCTTCTCCTGCTTTTTGGAGTCGAAGCACAACGGAGGCACGTAGACGCAGCACAGAACATGCTAGGAACAATTTCAGACAAGTACGTCCCGACCGCCCCTTCACTCTTTTCGAGAAGGGAAAGAGGGGATGCCCCTGTTTAAGAATTTTGCCAGCGTTTTTCATCGCATTCTTTCCTATCAGCGTTCAACTCGCCATCTACAACTTCATTATCGACCTTTTAACCTCGCAAATTAGATCTGGAATTGTTGCTTCGAGCGCAAACTACGATGAATTCAATGAATCGGTTTAGTATGTATTTGAGTGATGTAAGTGAACGCCTAATGTGTGCCGTTCTGCGACTTGAAAGAGCACAGCAAGGAGGCTAAGGCCTTTTCAGCTCGGCAAGATCCACCTAGGCTAAGCCATGCAGATGCCGGACCGACGCAGAAAGCAAATCGTAAAATGCACTATGACACATACAAGTGTGAACAAGGAAAATTTATCCCAACGCTCATATTTCCATTCCGTGGGAATTCATTCGGCATATTTTCATGATTTTCTCTTTCGTTTCATTTCCAGCGGTCCAATTAGCATGATTATCTTCATTGCTGAACGCGGCCATCACACCAAACCGGTGTGATTTTATCAGTACTCCTTCCACTGCTGACGCAATTACTACATCACAAAGGGCGAGGGTTCCGAAAAGTGTGCCAAGAGATGTGCTGCAATGACACACTGACAGACCATGTTGCTAGCAAGAGCTGTAATGAAATTTTCATCCCTACCCTCTCTCCTTCCGCTCGAACTTTCCTTCATGGTTTGCTGCAGGATAAGACCCTGGAGCTACTACTCAACATAAACCATTATTCGAAATTGTAAACAGCTAATATGATCCTAAACTGACCAAATGAAATAAAAGTCGGTTAATGGCAGGAAAGGTAGGTAAAGGATGCTCAATAAGTTATTCGAGCATTGAGGAAGCACTTTAGCATTTCCTGTGAGCAGCGCTTATTGCCATGGAGTGGATTGAGATTTTCTCCATGGTCGTGCCTTCTCGGTTGAGAAACTTGACTAGCGTGATTTAGGTAGTTGAAGGTTCTTGTCTACGATCCTGTTGTTCACGAGGGGATTCTAGAGCACGGCATCAATACTGTTCTGGTGAACGCCAGTCGGCGTTTTCTAGAATAGCGCCCCCTGGTGAATATGGTCCCTTTTTCAGTGTGCACGCGACGAGTTTCTCTCCGAGCGCCTTGTTCGATCATGTACACTCAAACACACCGAAAGCAACTGTGGAGGCAGAGATCGCCTTCCAGAGAAGTCGCCGATCAATGGAAGGACGGCAGATTTGGAGAATTTACCGAGCATGAAACATGCCAATCCAGGCTCAACAAGGAGGTAACCCATCCAATATTACCTCTTCGAGACAATTGGATCAAAAAACTTCCTTACAAATCAATAAAATGTAAATAAACTGCACAAGAAAACCTATTAGTTTACCTAGCTATAGCGTCCGCAACAACTTCTGTGAGTTCTGCAGCATCGCTGTTCCTTACCTCTTCGTAATATTTCGTTATCTTTCTCGTCAGCTCCTGAAATTCCGCACTTAGCCAGCCATAAATGGACACTCCACACTTTTGTTCGATGTCAAACCTCGGAATTGGGATTCTGGAAGTTTCTAGCGGTGGCAGATACAACGTGAATGACCTCCACCATTCCAGCTATAAGATTCAAATTCACGACATATCGGCGTTGTCGCTTTTCGCTTTCAGTGAAACCTTGATCATGGATTATCCTAAAAACGATGGATAGGGAATACATTACGTTAATTTTGGATTGGATCCTCACCTTATTTGCTTCAATGTGGTGCTCTTTCCTGAATCTCCAGGACCTAAAAACGATTTTGTTAATTGTCGGGTATTATTCCTTTCGAGTTACATCTCAACAGTGCCCTTTTTATTTGCCAAGAATCTGTGCTTAGCCTAGACGTTATGCGACAACTTGAGCGCTGGTTTTGCCGAACAAGTATTTGAGCTGCTATCTGCCTTTTCATGCAGTCGTTCTGGGTTCGTTGAGTGAAAATCCCAAGGGCAAAATGCAAGCTTCAGAATGCAATGTGAAAGAGCTTTCAGGCCGCGCTTTTCAAGCAGCCGCCACGTGGCGATTGGCAGCGGTGGTGGCGCTCGCGGACGAAAGTGTGGACTGCGGGTCAAGCGAGCTCCTAGCGTCTCTGTCGCGCGACATCAACGCTCGTCCGCCTGTCCACTACGCACGGGCATGGTACACTGACCCTGCCTCATCCCGGAGAGCGCCTTCAAGTAATTTTTACCTCGTTTCTTATTGCTTTCAACACGTTGACGACAGCGCGCTGCACTTTTTGAGCACTATGTGGGACCGTGTGCAGCGCATGCGCATGCACACCCATACAGAGTATTTTTTTTTCGCGCATGCGCTACTTCTTTTCTAATTTTTTGCATCTATTCTATAGACCACACCATAATATGACTAGAGCGAGGTTAGAAACATTGAATAGTTGAAGGAATGGATTCGCTTTAGCAAAGGTTTTCCAAGTCCTACGAATTTGTCGAATTGTGTTCATTCCTAGGTTTCTTCATTTTCTCATAAGCTTGGTCATAAAAAGGAGTAGTAGAAGTATGTCGTTTCATATCATTTCGGTCAAACTTTTAAAATTGTACTTTTCGAAAACTGAGCACATCGATGCCATCACAATCATTTTGACGCATTCAGCTCATAATCCACGGATAGAGTAAACCCTCCTTTGTATGTTTTCCATGATTGGCCTGACAGAATAATATCATATATAGAAAAGTGAAGTTGAATACCGAGTGCGATCGCAGATGCAGCGGCGGTTCCGAAAAAGAACACAAGGGCTTCAACTTACTGAAAGGTTTTCTGTCAGG